GTGTGTCCATCTTATATGTCTGTTAAACAGTTTGATTAAAATAATCAAGACATTTTCTCGTTGTATTAAAATCTTAAAATGTTTCTTTATTAAAATCGACCTTCGACCTTCCTGCTTTTATTATCCGTCTCATTTCACTTCCTGTATGACAGCGAATCACGTCACAGCGACACTTTATTGTAAATTCATAAATGTTTTAAATGATAATACAGAAAGTCCATTTTTAAACTAAAAAGATAAAAATTTAACTGGTTCCACATCGAAACAGCTTCTTTTTTTTTAATGACATTGAACACATCACCCCGGGCTCTGGAAACTGTGATGGTTATATTTTTATATTTTACACCATTTTATAGAGCAACAAACTAATTAATCCATCAAGAAAACAACCAACACATAGAGGGATAATGAGAATGATCATTAGTTGCAGTCCTAACTGTCTGAATTTAATAAAAGGGATCCAATCTGAGGTGAAAGAGTAAACCTGTGTTACAGATCCTCTCAGGTGAGAAGCAGCCGATAAAACAAACCAAAAATATAAAAGAGTCCAATAAAAAGAGAATAAAACCGTAAACATGTCAACAGTTCTCCTTGGCAGCGGGATCAACATTGGACTGATTTGAGGTCAGTATGAAAAAGGCACATTAAGATCTCAGAGCTGACAAACATTCATCGGCTCCGACAGCTGGAAGTAAAACAGTCTGAACTCTGCTCCACGTCTACAGTCCGGATCCTCATCAGTCCTCTAATAAATACTAATAAAATACTAAACCTGATTTCTCAACATCCAGATACGACAGATTATTTGGATTAATTAACATTATTTGGAAACAGCCGATGAGGACGGTGAAAGTAACGCGAGCCGTCGCTGACACTGAGCAGCTGAATGTTTGAGAGGAGGAATAACTCCTGATCTTTGTTCACAGTCAAACTCTACGCTGTGGATTCTGATCGGCTTTATTTTAGCCGACACCGATCGATTAAAATAGACTCAGAGTTGAGCTGATAAAACACTGATAAAAAGGTTTCCAGTGAACATCGGACACATTAACCACATTCAGTGTAAAAGCAGATGACAGGAAGAGTCCTGCTTTCTGTCAGTAGTTGTCGTACGTGTTCACTCTGTGTCTGTGGTGAGGTCTCATCTGGCGGCCGGCCCACTCCTCCTCGGGTCGCTCACGCAGGCCGTTGGACTCGTTGGTCCAGCGTGCGGAGTAGCGTGGGAGGGGAGGAGGAAGAGGAGGAGGAGGAGGACCTCTCCTTCTGTCCACTGGGCGGGGGGGTCTCCTCCACTGACTGTCGGGGTGAGGCGGGGTCCATCGGTACGGGTGGTGGTGGTGCAGCGGGGCGCCCGTGGGTGGACAGAAAGGAGGCGGAGGCAGTAACGGAGGACTGGGGAGCAGGCCGTCCTGTGGGTGGTGGTGATGGGAGCGCTGGTTTCCTGTTGGAGGGTACGACCTGGAACAGAGACAGACAGACAGTCGGACGCTGTACGACTCATTTCTAACACAGAAGACCGGAGGAGGGATGTCTGTCCTCCCTACCTGTGGTACCAGTCGGCGAGGTGAGGTCGGCGCTCCTCTCTGCGGTCACCGTCTGACGGCCGATGTGCAGCTCGACCTCTCATTGGCTCCTGCTCCGACTCCTCCATCCCCTCGTTACTGCGTCCAGGAGATCAAAGCAGAGCAGACGGTTCGGATGTTAAACGATGATGATGAAGAGTTATAAAGGTGAAGCATCACTCGGTGCAAACATCAGTAACTGAGCGCTGTTTTACTGTAACATCGTCCCTGAGCTGCAGCTCCAACGGCTGACTGCGAGCGCTCCAACTACAGTCACTAACTTCCTGTGAACATCTGTATGCCTCTGTCTCTGATGTACGTGGAACTCTGGACGTATGGTCTCACCTCCTCTTCGGTCCACGCTGGAGATCTTCCAGGTAGTTGTGTCTTTCGATAGCGTGGCCCCGCGACGAGTTAAACACTGAGGACAGAACCACATTCAGGATGCTTCACTCTCATTCAGTGACGTTTAAACACTTTAACATAAAGAGACAATAACACGAGCACTCACACGCCACAGCCTCCTTAGGATCCATCCCATCAACGTCTATCAGATACCTGCAGGTCAGACGCAGCTGTTAAACACAGGATTACACGTGGAATCTGATACAGTTACTAATTACAATATAAAGTAATGTAACTGGATTACTTTCTGCTCATTTTGGATTACATCAACACCAAATAAAGACAGGAGAAATATCAACGAGGTGATTTTTACTTTTAAAGAAAAAATGAAGATTTAGCATCAAAAGTAGTGGAGAGCTAATAATCCCCAAATGTAACTGTAATCTGTTCTGTCTGTGACTGTAATGGATTACAGCTGACCCTGCCTACTGGTCCGTCTACGTCCTCACCTGCAGATCAGGTATCCGGTGCGGTTCAGGCCGTGGGTGCAGTGGACGCCGATCAGCTTGTCTGTGAAGGACAGTCGAGTTAATGAGCGTCACACAGAGAGAGAGCTTCAACCAATCACTGAGAGTTCTGCAGAACCTCACAACAATCACTGAGAGTTTCTGCAGAACCTCAGCAACCAATCACTAGAGTTCTGCAGAACCTCACAACCAATCACTGAAGTTCTGCAGAACTCACAACAATCACAGCAGCTGACGCAGTGAGCAAAGATGGATGAACTCTCTCGTTCATTCAGTTCATCAAAAACTTCAGAAACCTACTTCGGCTTTCTTACAGTATAAAGTCTGTCAACTGTTTAAAATACCTTATTATTATTATTATTATTCACGGTGTCTGGACACTGTCAGAACAGTACTTACTAAAGGACATAAAGAGTGTTGCATTAGTTGTAGATTGACAATAAAGCCAGACACACTTCATGGCACCTCATATTTGGAAAGAAGGCCCAAATAGTAACAATAACCCTCTAGAAACGGGAGTTCCTGGATCTGCGCTACCTGGGTGTTTCCTTAACAGTTCTCTAAAAAAAGTGAAAACGAGGCACCAGGACCTTCATTACCAACCCCCCGCCCTTTTTTATCGTGGAACCACAGGCTCCAGTTGTGGTTCCGGGCGGGGCAACACCCTCTCCATTAAGATAGCCTTAAGACGTTCTCTTTGATAAAGGGCTATATTAGGGCCGGATTCCGTGGAGTCTAACCCATCCTTTTAGTATGCTGCTAATAGCCTGACTACGG